CCAATTGGATAAAGCGCTGAAGCGATTCGGTCACATTCATGTGCCGGTTCATGCTCTGAAAACGACATGTTTTGGCGAGCATCGCCGAGTGGATCTATGCTGTTGCGGTGAGGAGGGGAGAGATTATGGCTACGACGAAGAGGAAAGACCTCTTCTGCCGGCTTACCTCGCAGCTTGGCCTTGATCACCCTCTCCATATTCCCGGTGAGGCCATCCAGATAGCGCAGGTCCAGAGTTAGCGACATGGTTACTTCCCAGTTGGCCCAGGCCTCTCAGCTGTAGATGCGATTTCCCACAAAATGGAGCTATTGCCTTGCGTCAGGCAGCGATCGGAGAGCACAAAGCATGCAAGCCCTGTTGCTCGGTGGTACCGTACTAGGCAGGCCAGGCCAGCACTATTAACTTTCTATTTGCCAATGTTCAGATAATCCTACTGAACCGCTTGTTCATGTGACAGTTTAGATAGTCAGCAAAATTTTTTCACTTCTGCCGTGATGGGCACTGTTAGCACTTTATTTCGCTTTCTTTACAAAACACCCCCCCACCCACACACACATACACATACACATACACATACATACATATACACACAAATGCATACATAGAGCATAGGTGCACGCGGAGAGATTGGCACATACTAGTCTGCAGGCATACAAAGAAGTTTATTCACGTTGGTGACAAGAAAAGAATGGATTACGTTCAAATAATTGCAGAGCACAGTTTATGTTGCGCGCAGATGCGAACGAAGCAACTAGAAAAGTTAGTATACACTTCGTCTTTGAGCAACTGATCAATCGGACAGGATCTCTTGTCTACCGTGAACAAATATTCGAGACGAGCAGAGGATCCAAGGCCCAGGGTGAGATCGATCACTTGGTATGGACAAAGAGTCCGTTCTCCTGACGACAGAGCATGAAAGAAATGGCTTCTTCTGCCTAAGCCAGTCGGTTGAAGATCTCTTTTGGGTAAACAAGCTATGAATAGGATTGGGCAAACTGGGACAAGTGCATGCGTTTTAACCACCTCAGCTTGGGTGACATGAGGACTGTCTACTGCAGGTTGACGAGCTTGTGTCTACCAGTCGACACCGGTTGCATTTTGCGGGTCATCTTTTGTGCCAGCATTGGGCAGCCGCCTGTAATGCAGACTGAGAAATTAGACAAATTAGGCTCTGCCAAATGGCGACACATTTTGCAGATAAATATGACTTAATTGTTTGTCGCCCATTAGAGAATA